ATAATATAATATAATATAATACAACATACTATAATATAATAAAATAGAATAGAATATAATATAATATAATATACTGTAATATAATATATATATATATATATATATATATATATATATACGTATATATATATATATATCCATCCATATTCCCCTTCCTATGTTTTTATAAGCCCGGGAGGGGGGAAAACCCATCCCCCCCCCCAAAAAAAAACGAAAAAAACAGACTCCCGGGATCTGGGGATTTGGGAACTTCCAGACGGGCCTCGAAGCGGCCCCCAGGCCTCGTAGGGCGTTTTGCCACGCCTTCCCAGCACACCTAGGGCGATCAGGGGGGTCATCGGGGACGTCCCAGAGACCCCCAAGACAGCACAAAAGCGCTCCAAGAGTGACCGACGTGACCTCAAGATGGCCCAAGAGGCCTCCCGGACGGCCCCAAAGAGGCCTCCAAGAGTACTCCCAAGAAGGCCCCCCGAGGCAAAAATGAATGATCTTCTACGGGTTATTGGTGAATTTTGAGGTTCTCCTCTTTTCGGCTTCCCGACGCTCCAAGACGGCGGTCTTCTGGGCGTCCGAAGCCGCCTGGGAGGCTCCCAAATCGCCCGACAATCATCCGAAAGGGCTTCCAGGCAGTCCAAGAGAGCCCCCAAACGGCACAACACTGGTCCAAGATGGCCCTCACAGAGCCCCATGGCGGCCCAAGATGGCCCAAAGACACCCTCCGAAGAATTCCAAATCGTGATTCGGTCGTTCAGGGAGACGCAGTTGGAGGCAGGGTGGCCCGAGGAAGCCCCCAGAGGCCCCCAGAATACGCCCAGGAGGCCTCCAGAAGGCGTTAAGAACGCCCGAAAGAACTGTTGTGAGGCCCCTAGAGGCTCTCCAAGGAGGAGCCTCCGCAAAAAGAGCTGAGGAGGATGGGGAGAATGCGCAGGGTCTGGCGAAAAAAAAAAAAACAATAAGCATGGAGGAAGGATAACGAATAACATCATTATAGCGGCGATACCAGAAAAGGCAACCAGGAATTATCGCTAAATTGTCGGCTTGACCTTCCTGCCATTCCGCCTGCACGCCAAACTTCAAGGACCAAGGTGCATGGCGCGAAGCGCCACTGCAGTCTTGTATATATATATATATATATATAGAGAGAGAGAGAGAGAGAGAGATGTATAGATGTACCTCTTATACTTTTACAAGCCCAGGCGGGGGGAAAACCCGTCCCCGCCCCCCCCCCAAAAAAAAACCGGACTCCCGGGATCTGGGGATTTGGGAACTTACAGACGGGCCTCGAAGCGGCCCCCAGGCCTCGTAGGGCGTTTTGCCACGCCTTCCCAGCACACCTAGGGCAATCAGGGGGGTCATCGGAGACGTCCCAGAGACCCCCAAGACAGCACAAGAGCGCTCCAAGAGTGACCGACGTGACCTCAAGATGGCCCAAGAGGCCTTCAGGTCAGCCCCAAAGAGGCCTCTAAGAGCACTCCCAGGAAGGCCCCCCGAGGCAAAAATCATTGATTTTCTGAGGGTTTTTGGTGAAGTCTGCGGTTCTCCTCTATTCGGCTTCCCGACGCTCCAAGACGGCGGTCTTCTGGGCGTTCGAAGCCGCCTGGGGGGCTCCAAAATCGCCCGACAATCATCCGAAAGGGCTTCCAGGCAGTCCAAGAGAGCCCCAAAACGGCGCAACACGGGTCCAAGATGGCTCTCACAGAGCCCCATGGCGGCCCAAGATGGCCCAAAGACACCCTCCGAAGCATTCCGAATCGTGACCCGGTCGTTCAGGGAGACCGCGGTTGGAGGCAGGGTGGCCCGAGGAAGCCCCCGGAGGCCCCCAGAATACGCCCAGGAGGCCTCCATAAGGCCTTAAGAAAGCCTGAAACAACTTTTGTGAGTCCCCCAGAGGCTCTCCAAGGAGGAGCCTCCGCAAAAAAGAGCTGAGGAGGATTGGGAGTGTGCGCAGGGCATGGCGAAAATAAGGAAACAGAAGCATGGAGAAAGGATAACGAGTAACATTATTATAGCGGCGGTGAGGGAAAAGGCAACAAGGAGTTATCGCGAAATTGTCGGCTTGACCTTCCTGCTTGTTCGCCGGCATACCAAACTTCACGGACCAAGGTGCATGGCGCGAAGCGCCATTGCAGTCTTGTATATCTATATATATATATATATATATACATTTATACACACAGATACACACATATATGTATGTATGTCGGCGGTGCCCGGTGCGGAGCGAACCCCCCCCCCCTGGTAATCTCTCCTGGGGGGTTTCGAGCTGGCGCCATTCCCGGTGCGAGCCTGCACGAAACCCCCCGGTAAACACGACCTCCTCTGGTAGGCTGCACGAAACCCCCCGGTAAGGACGCAACCCCTCCGTAAGCGGCGCGCTCCCAGCACGCGCGAAACCCAGCCCCGACGCGCGAATCTTACCAGGACGGGCCGGAACACGGCGGCGGCATTGCATCCCAGGGCCGTGCCGGAACACGGCGGCACTGTTCTTCTCTACGCGGCCGTGCCGTCGACCCCCCACAGCGGCTCTCGGGAGTTGCGCCGCAGCCTCTCGTATTGTGGCCACGAGCCACAATACGAGAGGCTGCGGCGGAACAAAGGCGAGCAGACGCGAATAGAGAACACAAGGCGAGCACACGCCACACTTCGACAGGGAGCCACCCTTCCCAACCGCCCCCCTGCCCCCCCCCCAACCCACCCCCCACTCCCACCCCCCCACTCCCACAGGGGGGGGGGGGAGCCCAGGTAGACGCAGTGCGGCCTGCACGAACCCCCCCGGTAAAGCGGCAAGGGGGGGGTGTTCTAAGCCGCTGGCGGCACCCGGTGCGGGCTGCACGAAATCCCCCGGTAGTGCACGAAACCCCCCGGTAGTGCTGGGGGGGGGGTTCGTGCCACGGCGCACCGCCGACATGTATGTATGTATGTATGTATGTATGTATGTATGTATGTATATATATATAGAGAGAGAGAGAGAGAGAGAGACATTCCTCTTCCTATAGTTGTATAAGCCCGGGCGGGGGGAAAACCCGTCACCCGCACACACACACACACACACAAAAAAAAAAAAGAAAACGGACTCCCGGGATCTGGGGCTTTGGGACCCTCCAGACGGGCCTCGAAGCGGCCACCAGGCCTCACATGGCGTTTTGCCAAGCCTTCCCAGCACACCTAGAGCGATCAAGGGGGTCATCGGGGACGTCCCAGAGACCCCCAAGGCAGCACAAGAGCGCTCCAAGAGTGACCGACGTGACCTCGCCTCTTCTTGCGTTGCCGCCACGTCTCGGGGTGCGACAGGGAGGGGTTATTTATAAGGTGAAAGAATGGAGGAGGAGGAGGAGGAGGAGGAGGAGGAGGAGGAGGAGGGGGAGGAGGGACGATGAGGAGGACGATGAGGGAGGAGGAGGAGGAGGAGGGGGAGGACGGCGAGGAGGACGAGGAGGAGAAAAGAGAAGGCGGAGGAGGAGAAGGAGGAGAACACGGAGGAAGAGGACGAGGAGGCGGAGGAGGAGGAGGGGAGGGAGGAGGAGAGGGGAGGAGGAGGAGGAGGAGGAGGAGGAGAGGAGGAGGAGGGAGAGAAGGAGGAGGAGCGGAGGAGGAGGCGGAGAAGGTGGAGAAGGAGGAGCAGTGAGGAGGAGGAGGAGGAGGAGGAGGAGGACGACGACGAGGAGGAGGAGAGGAGAAGGAGGGGGAGGGGGGGGGAAGGGAGAGGGAGAGGGCACGGGGAGGGAGGGAAGGGGGAGGAGAGGGAGGAGGGAGGGAGATGGGTAAGAGGAAGGGAGGGGGGAGAGGGATGAGGGGAAGGAGGAGGGGGAAGAGGAGGGAGCAGTAGGAGGAGGAGGAGGAGGAGGAGGAGGAGGCTCCGTGGAGGCCTCGCAGTGGATCCCTCAGGCCGGGGTCTCTTCGGGTAGTAGTAGTAGTAGTAGTAGTGGTAGTAGTAGTAGTAGTAGTAGTCGTAGTCGTCGTCGTCGTCGTCGTCGTCGTCGTCGTCGTCGTCGTCGTCGTCGTCGTCGTCGTCGTCGTCGTCGTCCGTCGTCGCCGTCGTCGGT